TTATACAATATTTGTAATTACACTCGTTAATTTAGAGAATTTTTAAATAATAACAGCCAGAAATCAATTCATTTGAACTTCGTTTATTGAAACGAAATTTTAATTAATAAATACTCGGTCAATTGAATACCTGTCGATTAAATCTACGCATCTGAGTATGAAGTTCTACTTATTTGAATAAAAAATCGTAGGAAGCGTGGAGAGTCGATGAATTCCTATTATATGAACGGTTATATGAACTGTCTCCTTCCCAGACGAGTAGAGATAAATGATATTCTTCTATTTGATCTATTTGATTCTATATAATCAGAATAACGTTATCAGAATAACGTAGTCAGAGTAACGTAATATAATCAGATTTTCTAGTGATTTTGATAAATGAGAAAATTTGGAACTTACAACTCCTCCCTCTGACGTTGAGACAGCACCATTTTCATGATCCTTGTGTGTGTTTACTGGCTGATACTCAACAGTGATTCAAATGAGCGCGACTAGATTTTTCTCCAGTCAGCTCCTGGTTGCTTTAATACCCAGCCATCGACATCGCCTACAATAGGAAATAGACAGTTTAATTTTTAACACAGTTTCATGTTTAAGGAAATAGAGTACGTTGAAAATTATAAATTTTGATTACGGTCATTATATTCTAAGATCAAAGATTGTTATTAAACAATTGTCTATTGGACTGAGATATACAGTATCTAATTTTTGTAGAAGAATTATAGTAATTCTTTCGTTGAATGCTAGAGACTAAAATGAGATTACATTCTGGGAGAAAGTAATAAAGTTCCCTTTTTATATTTGTTTTTGACCACTTAATTTATAAGATTATTTTTCCTTAGAAAATTCTGTTTCCTTTTTCTTAATTTTATCCGGATCTTTTTTTATATAGATTATTTTGATTGGGATATAATCAATGTTGACAATATAAGGATTCAAATTTGTAATTATAGAGACTCTTAGTTCGTTCTTTGTTATGAGTATAATTAACTAGTGAAATCAACAAGTAAAATGTGCAATTCTAAATAAATAGACATATCCATTTTGTTCAACAGTTGCAGTTACTGCGTCTAAAGAAGATCTCACATGCATAACAATCTTGCCACGTGCTGTCATTCCTCAATCGCAAATGATACTTCAACATCATAATCCAATGTCTCCTCCTCTTGGACAATCGATCGATTAAAATTAAATAATACTTTGTTTTTCATTAGATTTTATGGGAAAAGAGATAACATTTCAAAACGATAATTAACAGCTATTATCGGAAAAGAATATTACTAACAATTACATAAATTAAATAACAAAAAAAGAAAGAAGAGCAAATATGATTTCAATTTCTCAGAGAGAAAACGATAAAATAATACAATTTTTTGTATTCCTACAAAAGTTACTGTTTAACTAGGCTTTACCGTTTAAAATACTTCCAGCGTAACAGTTATTTTCTTATTTAATAAAAAAAAATAGAAAAAGAAAGGAAATACACGAGCATGAAAGGAAATTCAGACGAATGTGTGAGAGCGGTTTGTCCTGAAATCCTTAATCGGAACAATAACATGCTTCTAACTCTCATAATTTATTTTACTTTCCATTGATGGTAAAATAGGAGGTGATTCGACAAGAAACTTCGTTCATTTTTTTGATCTTCACTATCAGAAACATTAAACTTAACAATAATGTAGAAGATTTTTGCACACAACTGTTTTTGAAAAAATTTCCATTTCAAAATCTTTATTTTATGTTATAAATCAGACGTCATTCAAAGAATAAAAGTATTTATTTTCCTTGAGAAGTTGTATCCTAATAATCTTAACAATATGCTAAATTTTTATATCAAATAATTTTATATGAATACTACACAAAATCAAAGAAGAAGAGAAAAAGAATTAAATACGTACGGTATTTCTGTATAACTATATTGATCGCATAGTTAATACTTAAACGTAGTATTTGTAAACAACGTTTGTAAATATCAACATATCCGTATATTGTCCACTTTGCATCACTAAATTTTCTTAATTAATACCTTAAATAAAACCTGATCATCTATATAAAAGACTGAAATTGTGAAATTTTATTTGTAACGAAAGTTTTCGATGGTATTGCAACACTTTATTCGGCTAGAAACAGCAAGGACCAGAATATTGATTATATTCCTTAGCCCCTGCCAAACCCACCCTCGCGATGCGATCCGTGGAATGACATAACATTTGGCAAAACACGCGGGTCACGACCAAATAAACATGAACGCAATTGGAAGACGATGATTAAACGGCGATCACAAAAGTCTACTGTAATTGGCGAATACGAAACGAAATCAGCCAATTAGAATGAACGAATCGAAAGCGGCCATCTTTCCCCGGTAATGTTCGAGTCTGACCCAACGATCAAAAAACGCTCTCTTCAAACAATCTTCCTGATTGCGTTTCGTACGCAAAGAAACGTGTCGTGGGAACAAATACTTTAAAAGGAAGGACCTTGACAATCGAGAAAGCGCGCTGCGTCGTCGCGACGCTTTATGACGATGCTTATCGGCGCGATGCGCCGTAATCGATAAACCGGCTGTCCGCCCACCCTCGTTGCCGTGTATTTCACCTTACGGTGCATTCAAATATTCATCACGGCCTGCTTTAATTCCCTACGGCCAGTCACGTTAATATACACTAGAAAAACTCATAATATAATTGTTCAATCAATCAACGAAATCTCTTTTAATGATATCAACAATGGTATTGATACGTCTTGTATTGACGCCACTTCGACTAGATACAACCCCACTTTTCGAAAGTGTTTTATTACGAATTGAGTTAGATGTAGATATAACTCGATGAAATTATATCTCTGAGCAGAAAACCATGTTTAATAAAAGGAAGAAACTCAAACTCGTAGAAAATTTTCACAGAAAAACATGAAGGAAAACACAGATATTATTTCAGACGGTAATGATTAAACCATCGAGTTGCTTTCTAATTCGCGATTTTGCTAAGGCGCATTTGTATGTGATATTAATGACCAATGAATTTTTGCAACGACTATTTCCGGGATCATCAGTACGGGTGAGCGACTCTTGGCCTTCTCGACCCCGTGCACCGTGAATCTACCTGTGGCTTCGCTTCTCTCGACTCTAATCTCCTTACATGTTGGCACAACGAGTTGATCGAAATCGTTCACTGCTTCAAACATTACCGTGACTCGTTTACGCGCGTACGAATAGGACGAATTCAAGACTCGTTTGACAACAATGCTAATTTTCATGAAAAAATTCGCGTAACCTTAAGAGATATAAGCCCGCGACGAGGATTGATCAAATAATCCATGTTATAATATTCCGAAGATATAAGAACATCAGAAGGAATTCAGTTCGCTGACAGACTCGACAGCTGATCGCTGAGTCGACAGCAACTCGCACAAACAACGTCTGTCAAAAGATGTAATCTGATCATTTCTCATCGTTTGGTAGCTGACAGATAAGATAATGCTCGAGACTGGAGAAAAAACTGAAATTCGGTACAAACGTTTCAGTAGGCTGGCTCGCGAGTTGCGGCAAAGCGGTTGTACCACCGCACGACGCAAACGGTCATTCGCGAAAAAATCAATTCGAAGTGACGTGCAACATGTATGTTGAATATGTGTAGAACATGGTTGGATGACTGGCCGAAAATCATCAACCGGTATTTTAATCGGTATTTGATCGAGTGTACACTGTCAGGCAATGTCACGTCGGTCAGAAAGCGCTGCTAGAAGATCATCGGGCGAACGCGGAACAACCGTTTGTTGTAAATCGTGCACGGCCATTTTGCTAGAACCTGTCACGTCTGGTTGCAGTATATTTTACAGTCAGATCAACGTACTAACTAACGAATGCAACGTGAGAATAAAAGTCCGCGTACTTGGAGTCCGATACTCACTCTTTTTAACGGAGTAGCAGTAACCGGGATCCTTTGAGATCGGAAAAAATCACGGGAAAACCGGACTAACACAACCACCGAAGAACTACTCGAAATAACTTCTGCGATAGGACTGTCTCACAAGGTGGCGCCTGCGAAAGTCTTCCTTTCTAACGCATGCGCCAAGTATCGATGTCACTAATCTTTTTCGCTCTCCGAAGGAACTCACTGATCTGAAGGAACTACGTTTCGACCATAGACTTATACAAATAGTCTGCGTGTTCTTTTAAGAACCAGTGAAGCGAACACAAGAGTGAGAGAGCAATATTCTAGGTTGTAAATCGGGGTATCAGTTTCTGTCTCTAGTGGGTATTTTGGTGGGAAAAGAAACGAGCGCGATCGTATCACTGATATATATATTCTATGGATACGAGATTCCGTGAAGCGAATTGATCACAGCCATAATGGCTTTGGCATGAAGCGCCACTGTTGTTCGCCTAGTGTACTTCACTCCTCTCTATTACTGATACCAGTGTCCTCTATATTCATTTTCCCTCGCACCACTGTCTATGTATACCAATCCGATATAAGTATACGCACACAAAATCAAACGCAACAATACCTTACTATGTAGAACAAAGTTAGAGATTATCGAAGACACGTAAATATTTTACAAGCAACAAACTTTTGACATTGTAAATAATTTTATGTTAATAAAAAAGTAGATAAGTAGTTATAATATCGATAATGGCAGTTAAAGTATTGGTATAGAACTTCGTTTAAAGATATTTTTTAGGAGTTTCATGTTTTGACGAAATTAAGGTAACGCAAAATGATTAACAATGAAAGTATTAGCATGATGGCGAAATTATAAACTGTCAGCAAAAATTTATTTAAATTAATATCGCTTTGTTAAATGTGTCTTTTATATACTTTTTAGGTAAGATTTAATAATAAATTATATCGTAAAATATAATCGGCGACGTAACTTATTTCCAATTTAAAAATCGAAACTTTGATGGCTTTTTCACAATCAAATTCGAGAGGTAATACTATTTATAATTATTTTCTTCAATAAAATTGATACTGGATCTTTATTCGCACTGATTGTAGAATTACAGAATAGAAAAATCTTAGAAGAATTGCAATTAAAAAAACAATTGCTTTTAAAGCAAGGTGTAGCACCAACATTGAATACATCATTAGCTGTTACATCAACAGGTCCTTCTAATTTGGTAAATATATATTCTATATATCATATTTGTCGACAGATCGACTGATAAATTATATGTTTTTATATTCTTAATCATCTGTTTTCATTAGCCTCCTACACAGACCTCTGATGGTGTTGTAATGAATGCATCCCAAAGAGCTGCTTTACATAATGCGCATGCAGCATCATCAGGTTACTTTGTAACACAGGATTCTTCCTTTGGCAATCTTATTTTACCAGTTCTTCCAAGATTTGATGCTAAATAGAAAAATTAAGTTGCAGTTTCAAATAATAAGTAATAAATAATTCTACAGACTTTGAACAAGTGTGATAAAGTGATTTTTAATATGAACTAAGTACCTCCTTCTAAGGGTACCTCTTAAAAGTAATAGAACTAAAAGTGTAACACTGGGTGACAATTGATGATTAAACACAGAAAATGGCTAGCATTACACTTCGCAATTTAGAGACATGGTTACAAGAGTTAGACAGATTTGAAAAACCTAAAATATTACTTGAACAATATTGTACTAGTGCGCATGTAGCATCACACATGTTGTACTGTGCTCAAGTACAATTTGGTGATATACAAGGACGAACAGTTGCTGACTTAGGTTGTGGTTGTGGTCATTTATCAATTGGAGCGAAACTGCTTGAAGCAAGTCATGTAACTGGTTTTGAAATAGATCCTGATGCACTTAACATTCTCTCTAAAAATTGCGATGACTTAGAATTATTTGTGGAAACTGTACAGTGTGATATACTACAATATCTACCAGGTATAGATATATAAATATGTAAAACTCTTTTTTAAAAGTAAAAATCTTTATATTATATACAATCTTACAGGGAGATTCGAGAAATTCTTTGATACAGTTATTATGAATCCACCTTTTGGTACCAAACATAATGCAGGCACAGATATGAAGTTTTTGGAAATCGCGACTAAATTAGCATCAAATACTGTGTACTCGTTACATAAAACAAGCACGCGTAATTACGTTCTTCAAAAAGCTGCACAGTATGGAGCCAAAGGCAAAGTTATTGCAGAAGTGAAATTTGATATACCACAATCATATAAGTTTCATAAACAATACTATGTAGATATTAAGGTGGATTTTATACGATTTGAATTAAATTAATAAAATATTTTCATGACGCAAATTGTATATTCTAATTACTCAAATTTCAAGCCTTGAGCCAATGGCATTTCATTTCCACAATTGAAAGTTATAGTCGAACGTCGCATGTAATTCTTCCATGCATCGCTTCCACTCTCGCGTCCACCACCTGTAGCTTTCTCTCCTCCAAATGCTCCACCTATCTCTGCTCCACTAGTTCCAATATTAATATTTACTATCCCACAGTCAGAGCCATGTGCAGACACCCACTACAAAATATTTATGTTTCAATATTTTGAGACATATATAATGCAATCATGTAGTTATATCCTTACCTCGTACATATTTCGTACATCCTTAGTAAATAGAGTACTACTTAATCCTTGTTGTACATCATTATTAATAGCAATAGCATCTTCTAAAGAGTTTGCTTCAAGAATATATACAATTGGTGCAAAAGTCTCCCTTTGAACAATTTCAGCTTTAGGTGATAAACCAGTAATAATGGTTGGTTCAACATAAAAGCCAACTCTGTTTATCTGTTTTCCACCAAATTCAATTTTCCCTCCATTTTGTAAAGCACTATTTATTGCTTGCTATAAATAATTGTTAATTATATTATCAGTTGATTATTTGTAGTTTTGTATTTTTATATTTTATATTTGTTAAATCATTTGTAAATCATATTAATAATTGATTTCATGATATTAACACAACACTTGTACCTTATATTTATCTAATGTTTGTTGATTGTGTAATGGTCCATACAAAACATTATCATCTAAAGGATCTCCTACTCGTTCCAAAATACTCTTATATCCCGTTTTCAGTTTTTCTATTAAATTTACACATTATCTTTTTATTAAATGCTTGCTGTAATTACAGTTAATTGAACTAAAGTATAAAACTTTACCTAAAAATTCATCTTTTATCTTGTTGTGAAGAATTACTCTTCTAGTACTGGTACATCTCTGTCCAGCTGTTGCTACAGAGGAAAATACTACTGCTCTAACTGCCATTTCTAGATCTGCATCTGGAGCAACTATTACAAAAGATAATAAATTAAATTAAATTTAATATACTGTAACCATGTGATAAAGATATAATTATTGCTATTAGTATTGCTTAATTTACCTATTGTTGCGTTGTTGCCTCCTAGTTCTAACAATGATCTTCCGAATCGTTGCTGAACTTTAACAGCTACATTTCTACCAACTTCAGTACTTCCAGTAAATGAAACTAGAGGTACGCTATAAATAATAATGGTAATTGCATTGATTATGATATTACAAAAATTTCCTAAGGTTTAAATATATTACATCTTACCGCGTGTCGTTAACTATAGTTTCACCAACATCTGATCCACCTGTTATCATACATGCAACCGAACCTGGTACACCATTTCGTTCTAATACTCCTGCAATTATTTTTATAGTTGCAATAGAAGTCAATGGGGTAGTAGGTGCACCTTTCCAAACAACGGTATCTCCGCAAACCATTGCTATAGCAGTGTTCCAACCATATACCTAGAATATCTTTTTTCTTAATTCTAATTATTTTTTTTATTTACCAATCATTTTATTATTTCAAATTGTGCTTACTGCAACAGGAAAGTTATATGCAGAAATAACTCCAACTACTCCAAGAGGATTCCACTTCTCAAAAAGTACATGATATTTCCTTTCTGAAGGAAATATACTACCAGGGAGCATTCTAGATAAGCCAACAGCATAGTCACATATGTCAATAAATTCCTGAACTTCGCCTATACCTTCTGGCAATATTTTGCCTGTAATGTCATATATTATAATATTGAAATTAAGTTACAATATTAAAAAGTAGAATTTTGTGGATAAACAAAGCATACCCATTTCTAAAGACACTAATCGTCCTAATGGTTTTAAATTATTTCGTAGTTCTTCTCCTATTTGCCGCATTATTTCGCCTCTTGTAGGAGCTGGCAGTGATGCCCACTGAGGCCATGCTTTACGAGCTTCTGTAATAGCATTACTTGCTTCTTGAGGTGTTGATGTTTGAACTTTTGCTATTACTTTACCAGTTGCTGGTGAAACTGATTCTATTACCTGCATTGTATTATTAATAAAACCATTTCTTGTATATTGTAATTGGTATAATTTTAATTACTATTAACTGAATCAATAATATGAATTAAATTAAAAGTCATACGATATGATTAAATAAACAGAAAAGAATACTTTGCCAGATCCTCCCCATCGTCCATCATAATGACCCGGATTCTCGGTTGTAAGGCCTAACTGCTTTAAGAATCCATATTTTGGATCTGTTACTAAGTGCCTCACTTTCTGTAATTGAGGGATGTAGATGCTATTGCTTGACAACGCACGAATCATTGTTAAATATTTACGACTAACTCTTTAATCTTCAAGCCGCAATATAAAAAGACTCCGGGTTATCAAAACAACCGCTTATCGACAAAAAGAGAAGGGGTATGATAAGCTTAAATACCAGTAAATATCACAAAAAATTGGAATTGAGTTTAACGTTCATACATGTTACAAAATAATTACAATGCTAGTTTGACACTAATATACAATGTTTTTTTAAAACCTGTAATAAAAATTCTCTTGCGTATATTCAGTTCTCTAACAGAAGTATGTTTCTTCAATAAAACTTCATGAAATAGATTGAATTAGAAAGTATAAATGTAACACTTAAAATATTTAAAAAAGAGTTTTATCCTATTTTACTAACATTAAAATAATGTTAGTAACATCACAAGGTGATACAGAATTGCAACATTGAGAAACATTCGTCTCTTTACATGTTATGATTTAAAAATGTTTGGTATATGCCACGAGGCACGGAAATTGATAAAAAATGTTGCTTTTTTAAAATTTCATTACTGAAATTTTGAAACTCGTATTGAATATGTCATCGTAATGCATCTTCGCATTGAAATGCAACTGCTTCAGCCCGGTCGACAAAATTGATAACACCGTAGATCAGAAATTAACTGCAGCACTGATCTCGTCAAAGTCGGTTGATCCTATTAATACGTAATAAAGTCAATAAGAAAATTATTTATTAACTTACTTACGAAATGATCTTTCTAGTTCTACTTACCGTAGACTTGTCAAAGTTTCCTAATAATGTAGCTTTTTGCATGTCATCTACACCTTCACAACTTGCCAAGAATGTTGGCAAAAAATGTCCGAAAAACCATGCTATATTAACTGAAGCTAAACTATGAATAGCAGTTGCAATCTCATCCGCCAATAAATTATGGGATCTAGAAATAAATGTTTAAGATATTTTATCACTTCAAGTGAAACAAATTGTAATTCAAGAATATCCCACTAACTGTTGAAATAGAACAGTGAATAACGCCATTAGAAATCTCTCGAGTAAATGAACTTTGAACACAGCTCGTTGATAAAGCCGCCACCGTACATTTAACTGTTCTAGACTTTGTAGACTTTGACGAAATATGTTAACATCCGGCTGAAGAAGAGCTTGGCCGAAAGCTTCTAAAATTGCAACTAATTCTTCCTTGTGTTCGACGGATTCGTCTTCATCAGTATGACCGAGGGTGCGTAGTATAGAAGTATTATAAAAATATTGCCATCGATGCATAAGTATACTAAAACAAATATTTAAATTTTATTATTGTTACATTAATGATTCAAATAGCCAAAATACAATTCGTATAGTACCTGTGGAAAAGTTTTAATAACACAAGTGTAGTATCTGGATATGCACTAAGATCATTCCCGACAGCAGGCCAGACTTGGCCTAAACATAAATTGGTCACTGAAGGAACAAATGCTTTAAATGCATTACTAGGTGCTGATACGACCAATATTAAGATTTCCAATAATTGATCTAATGCAGGTCCCGCGGATATATTTTCTCTGCAAATGCATCAAATATGAAAATAAAATTATATGATATAAATTAAATAAAATTGTTAAAAATGAAATGATCTACCTAGTATAAATGTATAGCATTCTTTGAACTGCATTTTGAGTAAACTCAGGGCCTAGTTGCTGTTGTAGTACTGAAAACACTGAATGCAAAAAACTAAGCAGAATCTCACATACGCTTTGACATCTTATCATATATGGCAATAATTCTAATATTCGATTTATAGTTGATCCCAAGCACGAATGTAACATTTTTTTTATCGTTGTGGATGAGGCAGAACAGTCTTCTAATAATTGAGTTAATGGCACTACTGTTATTGAAATGGTAGATTCCGAAGGTGCAAGTTGTCCTTCTAAACCGAGAGGTATAGATAATGTCGATACCATCGTGCCTACATGGATTGAAATCATACATGTATTATTAAGATTTATTACTTAGTAAGCATTTAATTACTTACCCAACAATCTTTCTCGAATAGATCCATCACCATGTGGTAAGACAATTGCATTTACTAATGCCCTTCGTAGTACTTTTATTGTATCAGGTTTAAGGAATGGATATGTTACCATTGAAATTAACTTTCTAAACGTGGGTTCATCCCATAAAACAGGTTTCAACATAGCAGTGATACTTTGGAAAAGATGTGTGGCGGAATGAGTTAAATTCGCTGGTGGTGGATTGTCACAGAATGTTGTATAATCTAATGCTAAAATGCATGAATCAATACATCGTTGACATAGTGATTCTTTTGTCTTTTCTGGCCTGTTAGCTATCCAATGGCACCAAGCTTGGAGTGATGCTAACAACTGTGAATGACTGGTCAACAAAACGAAGCATTTTTATAAGCTGCATTATATTAAAAATTGCATAAAAATACTTTCCTTTATAAATATTACTTACACTTCTATAAGATCTATTACAATTGCAGCTGGTTGCAATGATGCTTTGTACAATTGGTTTGTCTTGGCAAATTTACAGGCATCTAATGTTTGAGACACTACTTCTTCAGCTAATGACTGGTCAATACTCTGATCATCGCCTTGTTTTTTATTAAACAATTATATTGTGCTAAATCATAATCATGATATTATTATATGTATAAGAACTAACTTACCGAGGAAAAGTGAATACA